TGCAGAACACCGCAGTGTCCCGGGATGTTCTTTGTCAGCAGAGATCTGATAAGAGAGTTTGCGTCCTCGAAGAATGGCCTGTAGAATGTCTTTTGGATGGTCTGTAGTGATTTGATGGGAAATGAAATGCTCCAAAAGCGGCAGAATTCCGAGTTTTTCTGCCAGGGCATTGCAGGATGTTAGGGTTGCTTGAGAATCGATAAAGACAGCACCAAAGGTGCTCTGAATGATATCAGACAATACTCGCATGTCCCCAAGTGCGCTCAGCCGCACCCATGGGTAAAATCGCTGCTCCCATAGTTCATGTTTGATAGCATCCACCTCTTCAGATGACTTTTGAACAAAATTTGATAACTCAGTGGATAAGGCATCGCTATGCAAGCGAAGAAAATCCCAGAGCCTAATCGAGCATGTCTTCACGTTTTGATGGACCTTGTGTTCATCATCAACATACATATGATTTCGCTCCCTTACTTGGTGGAATGTTATTGCCACAAAGGTCAGAAATGTGTTGTTTGTGAACGCGGACTTCAAGGACTGCATCCTTTTTGGATTCCTCACTTGTGCATGTCGATGTAGATAGCTCACAACAATCCATTCTAGTACGCTGGCTCCGAGAAATGAGAGACGCCGATAAGATGTTGTTTGCACAAGACCAGTGCAAGATGGATGTGTCATACTCTCTACAGCCAGGGATTTGTCCGTGAAAGTATATCCAAGGAGTTCTTCCATATCGACTATTGCTGTTGGAGCAACTGCATTTGCCGGTCTAGTTTTGGAATAAGTACCATCATGCAGAGATGATGCATTCCAAGTCTTGAGTTTGGGAAACATGACTGATGCGCATGCAGCAGCCTGGTTCAGTCCACCATCTATGAAGGCAGCCCCAACAACTGCTTTCGTCATATCTGCCAGCGTAGCCGCACCGATGGATCGCTGCCTGGCTTCATTGCTGGAGGATTTTATCCTCGACACAAGCGGTGGCGCCCATCGTTTCCCGTTGAGATGCTTGCTTATGAGGAATTTTCCAAGGCCAGATTGATATATAGCATATGCAAGACCCGCATCAGACAGATTCCTCTGCTTCAAAGAGGACAGGAGACCTTCGTGCAACAAATGATGGTGCAGGAATAATTGCATTGCGAAGAGATACTTGATGAGTGCATCACCAATGAAGGCTAATGAGCGGAAGGTGGCTCGATGCTCAATACTTGTAGGCCTGATAGCAATGGCCAACAAATCAAGTCGTTGCCAGGGCGTGACTGATTGTAACGATAGTTCCTGTCGCAAATTTTGCGCTATAATATATACCTCCACCTCGTGGGATATGCTTGGTGTAAGGAGGGCGACCTGGGCAAACATGGAAGGTAGCTTATCAACAAAGAAATCTCGCACAGACATGCCTTTCACATTAGCTTCAAAGCCTATCCTGGGCTCACGGCGTTTTGATTTCCCAGCAGCTAGATTTCCTTGAGAGAGAAAGTTCCGGCGACTAGTCATGTATTTGACTTTGGCCGTGAAGGACGAACTGGACAAATCATCTGATAAGACGCACTCTCCTTTTACCCAGGGCTCAACCAAAAGTGGTCGACTGGGTTTCGTATGGCTGCGAAGCAGTCCAAGCGCACTCGGCGTAGCTTCCTGATTCAGAAGCTCAGTCAGGCTGACTGATCCAGAATACCTCTCAAGGAACTCTATCAGCTTCGGTTCTTCCAGTCCTGGGACAAGAAGGAACGCATAGTCTATGTTTTTGCGAGAACAATGGTCTCGGTAAACCGACTGGAAGATCAGGTTTGTCACTTGCTGGCAAAGTGGAACATTTGTAGTGATTGGATGCCCCGGTGTGAGAATGGCCGTATAGGTTGTGCAATAATCAATGAAAAGAGGAATGTGAACTGTTGTGTCAAGCTGATATGGAAAAATGATATGTAGATGGACTTCGTCCTCTTCTGGTCTTATGATTCGTAGTTTGTGAAGATACAGCTGACTGTCAAGTTTCCATAGAAGAGCAATATCCTGCCAAGCATCCAGCTGGTTCTGAATACTGTAGTGGGACCGTAATATGGTATTCCCATCCAAATAGTCTGAGACCTGAGTCGGAACTAAGTAATCGTTAACAAGGCCAGCCTGGTAAAGCGCTCTATATGCTTCTAATGCTGCGTCCTCCCTCGCATACTTGCGTCTGGACCAATTTCTTGAGCTAGAAAATGACTGAAGGGAAGGGTCGAGGTTGCTCGGCAATCTGACTACCGCCCTGAATCGGCCGTAGTTATTGCGCTCGTAAGAAAACAGGGGCTTGTTGCTGACATACGGCTGGGCAGGTAGCTTTGAACAAAGATGATACAAATACCCGACCGCTTCCCGCATTATCAGCTGCGCTCTATCAGATTTAGCATCTCTCAGAATGGAGAAACAGGGCACCCGCACTTACCCGGTCCTGTCAACGTGAAGGGAAAGCGAAATCCTCTCGTACTCGTCGAAGTCCAGCTCGTTAGCTGGTATTTGCCTTCGCTCGGCATTCTGCAATTTTGAAACTAGCTCTATTTCCTCCATCTCGAGTTGTTTCAAGTACCTTGGGCCGCTTTCATCTTCCATAATGATAATAAACTGGGAGTTCTCCCTTCGTGCACGCCCCCGTCGCTGAATGAAGGATTTCAAGGATAGCCGACTGTTGAAGTTTAGCACTGTATTGCATGCCGGTATATCAATGCCTTCTTCCAGAGCATCGGTCGTTATGATTAGGTTTATAGAGCCTTGCCGGAACTTCTCTAGCGTTTCAGTCTGATTTCGGATGTCATGGAGATTTCCGAGCTCTGTTTTGCTGTATTGTGTCGTTGACATACCAATGAATGTCCCACAGGTAAATAGGTGGCTCGTAAGTGGATGGTTCTCTATCAGCCATTTCAATGCAAGTACAGTCGCTCGTTGCGTGACGAACACCAGACCGCAGAACCCTTCTCTGTATGCCTTTGAAAGCTCATCCAATAGGCATAGGCACATTGGTGTCATATCTGCTCGTTGCATTGCCGGGATACAGTCATGCAATTTGCCCAATTTAGTAAGAATTTCCATGGCAAAGTCTTTCCCACGATTGGCGATATTTGTCTTCTCAGCGCCCATTCGCATGCTTTCTTTGAAATGCATGATCGATTTTCGCATGTACTCTGTCGCGGCCCAAATCCCAAGCTCCTGGTTAATGCTTTCCGAAGTCTGTATGAAGCGTCTGAGATGTTTGAGTTGCTTGCTCTTCATCTCCGATGAACTTGGTACTTCATCTTCAGAGGAAAAAATACCACATAACTTTTCCAATATCGGTGCCTTGACAGTGCAGTTCGTAATCGTATAAGAAGGTAGGCGCGGCAATATAAGTGGCCGGTTTGTGAATTGCAGGAGTTGCGCGTAGTATTGGCGAGGGGTCTTGCATATACTGCCCAGGTTGCTTTCCACGGTCCTTGATAATTATAACTCAGAGTTCGGATATGACAAGCATGATAATGGCAGCCAATAACTTACTCCAAAGATGACAAGTCGGATAAAATAGGAGAAGCAGTCAGACCAAGTATCTTCGGTAGATTCTGTGCACCACTTTGGTGCTGTTTATGGTAATGGTCCTGCATTATCTTGTTCGCAACGTGATTCCTTTTACAGTGGTGAGCTAAATATGGTGTCAGTCATTGTTTGATACATGAAATCTCTCTCTAAGTCTTACCTTCATCGAATATGAGTAAAGAAATTTGGCTCAGATTAACAAAACCATGGGATAGTGCGTCATATAGAACCTGATATGTTGAAACTGCAATCTTTATTCCCAACAAGGCATTATCCCATATTGTCTTCTCTTTCCAGTGTTCCACCTGATCTCTACTGGTGAACCCTCTGCACCACGTAGAAGGAACACGGTTTCGTATTGTATGTGTATGCTGCTCAGATAAAGCAACTGTGGGACAAAGTAGCCATACGAACTAATATTTTTTAGTTACAGCACCTCTAGAGCAGGTGACAGTACGTACCTTATCTGAGTCTCCTTTGTCTATGTCCGCCAGAATCCGTAATATGGCTCTGTTGCTCCTATTAACCATACAGTCAAAGCCATAGTAAGACTCATCATACACTTGCGTTTTCCCAGTACCTGTTGGCATCTTTCTATATGTTAATATGTAATAATCTCTCTGGGGGCAGTGATCATACCACAACGATAACATTACTTTTCAAACTCTCGTTCAACATCTCCAATTGATACTCTCTGATTTTAAGTTCCATACTGGTTGTCGGCCCCGGCGTACTGTCTGCATGGTAATCGGTAGATGAGGCCATTTTGGGATTCGAGAGAAAATAACTGTGTCTTCCTTGTGACTCAACTAAGAGAGATACCCTAAAAGTATGTAGTAGCTTTCGCCTATCCTCAAAGATAAGAAGTATCAAATATATCGATAGCTGCCGACGCTTATATATAAGGCTGGTTGGCCCCTCAGAATAGGACACGCATCACTGCCCAACACATTATCATTATGAGTGCGTGGACCCAATCATGCCCAAACACAATGCTAACTGTGCTTTGATCGCATAGTCCAGCAGAAGGTCGTATAGTACCTAATCTAGCCCTTCCGTAGGGGTTCAGAGAAGATACACGAGATACGCCCACCTACAATGCTAATATTGCTAGTCTGTTTTTCAGTGTTGCACATCCATAGCTTCGGTTATGCAGACTACGGGGCCCGGTTCCAAGCATCAAGTCTGTGCCAGCCTAGTGATTAGATAGAAAGTTTAGAGGCAGCAGCCCTGAATGCTGACGTCCGTGAGTGGAATGTGGAAGGGAACCCCAAACAGATTTCCCGAAGATGTTTGTATATCAACCCGGGGCAAATAGGCTTACGATGAGGAGGCAGGTGGGGGGCTTCAACCTTAGCAATAAATCGACTTATGGCTGCGCGTGACCACTCTCTAAAAAGTACTGTAGACGTATTTAACTCTATAGTACTCGATGAATATGTGATTCGTTACATGCCTTACTTCTTGTCTATCCAATGATTGCTATGTAACCTATGGCACTGTACAAGGTTCCGAGGGTCAGGTCTAAATCAGGAATAGTTCGTCTATGATCTACGGATATCCTTTCGATGCTTACATGGAGAGGATACATCGGATGTGAGAGACTTTCCTAGGTACTTCTCATAGCGACATGTATCCGACGACCTCACTATCAACATGGTTGGAGCCCAAGCCTTTGGCAAACACCTTTAGCTGCGATGTGTTTCGCAAGCTTCTTGTTTTTACCCTCACCCGACGCTTGTATACCCAGGTAAGAAATGGTGATTCGAAACTTGGGCGGATAACTGTTGAGGCAACTTTCTTTGACATTGGGCGTCACTCCGTGATTCGTCCCATCCTCCCATAAACGAGACGTATACTTCCAAATGTCAGGCTCATCATTCGCGTTAGATGAACACTGGGTAGGTGTGGAACTGATATAACGCCCTGTCATTTCCTCCAGCACTGACTGTTGATAGGCAGTTGTCGATATTCCAATGTCGGCTAAGCAAGTTGGGATTTGCAGGTGGAGTTTTGTCAGCAGAGGAACAAAGTCTTCCCTGCTATTGGACAGTCTGACGAATCCGAGAATCTTGTATATGTAATCTTCACAACTCTCATCGTCAAATTTGTTCGTGCGGGGTAAATCTAGATTCAAGCTCTTTATGGCTACTAGCGCTGCTTCGAAATCATAAGCTTTCGAATCAATAAATCGGTCTGCCTCGACCTAGAACGTCCTCAGCTATCCATAATTTGGACTAATAATGCGAAGAGCAGAGTCTGCAAACATACCAATGAACCATCTGTTCTGCCATTAGACGAGGTGTGAACTATCATTAAAGCCATATAAACATTGAACAGCCGCTTTCCAATTTCATAATCTGAAATACAAATTAGTAGCTATCACTTCACAGACTTTGGGCTATATCTACCAGTGTTGGTGTAGCAGTCCGCTTGCACAGGCCCGGGAGGCATCCTGACAATAATGAAGCAGAAATATGAATCTGATATGACGGATGTTGCTTTGGGATAGGCAGGTTATGTTTCCTTTTGAAATAGCTTTTGCTCCCAGAGCTACACGATAGCTCTCTTGGTATTTATATACGTATACACTGCTCAAATTCTGCTCTATACTTGGGCAAACACACACGCGGCAATTTCTTGTTGATGACCGCATGTGATGTGCACTGCCCTAGCAACATCATAGGTTAGGTATACTCTTCATTCTCTTCGGCTGTCATGGACACGTCACAGCTTTGGCCATGGCCCGAAGATCCTGGTGAATTGCAAGGGAGCTTAACAGTCATGATTGGGCTGCATACATTGCTTTAAAACTTCTAGCCTTCAGTGGGCAGAATCTATCTCAAGATTCCCGGCATATGAGACGAAATACGAAGCATCAAGGCGTACAGCAGTGGTTAAGCAGAGGTAGCTCGGTTATTTGGCACAATGTCCGTGCCAGAGTAATCTTCCACAGCATACATATCCTCGATACAGCTCGCTAGTGGTTAGCCAACCTGCGGCAAGGCTATCATGGCCGCAGTTCTAGCCAATAGAAAGGGATATCAAGACAGTATATAGCTTCCGCTGGCTTTGCAACGCTCAGGCCTCCTGGTATTTCAGATGGGTAGAATTGGGCAGAAAAGTAGTGAGCGTTTCTCCCTTCGACGGGTCTGTTAGGAAACGAGCGAACCTGCCGGTTAGGCTTGGCCGCCATGCCCCGGATTCTTCTCCCGGCTGGGTGCTGATGCCAACGCCATGCCGAGTGCTTACGGTCATGTGGTAGCCAAGGTGTCGATTCATGCGTGTATGGAATGTCGTGTTTCTAGTATTTTGCGGTCGCAGTGCTCAGCCACGTCAAATCGTTCGCTCCGTTGATGACCTGGATCCATCGTACATCAGTGCTGACTTTCTTTTGGTTGATTTTGTGGCGGCTGAATTCACCGCTCTCAGCCTTCTGAGCGTAGTGGTGGGTGGTGGTAGATGCCAGCAATCTCATCTGCCTCGAGCATCCTCTAGCAGAATGCCACCTGGAGTGATGCGATTGCCAGCCGGTCTGACTGGATGTGGTAAGTACGAACAAATGATGTTCTTGATGAACCAGTGAGTGGCCTGTGGGTAACCAGCGTTTACTCGCAGCCAAGCAGTTAGACTCATGCGGGTATTATCGATCCGCCACCCTTCTTGACTAACGCTTTGACTCATACGCCAGCCTCGCGCTTCCCCTGTCCGTCAGCAGAGCATTTTATGCATTGATATAGACTAACGCAAGACAAGAGCACGGACCTTCTCGGTGCTGGAGCGACTGAGGGTGGGCGAAATGAGCTATTAAGCTCTTTCGTCCGACGGGCTGTGTTCAAAACCCAATTGATAAGCTGTGAATGATGCGAGTAAGTCTCAGAAAGTATAAGAACTTAACTACACTTCTTGATACGTGCACCTCCGGCCTTGTAACTTTGATTCTCATTGGTAGTCTCGGCGCGCAGTTTTATGTCCCAATGCAGAATCCTATCACTTATCCTGATCCATGTACTGGCAACCTATTCGACATGACTCATGCTAGGCCTGGTACAGGATTTCTCCATGCTGATCGTCCTGCGATAATGAAAGGGTTGAATACAGTGAGGTGGCTCATGTATTCTTGCTGTATGTTACCCCAGTAAGGTTCAACCTCAGATTAGGTCGGAAAGCAAGGGTCCGCATAGTGTTACTCGGACGGGAAGGATCGACGTGGATAGGAATTTCTTTTCTACCCTGTGAAGTGTCTGATTTTATAGCTTCCTCCACTGCGCAGTAAAAAAGTACTCCAGAGGATTTCAAACTATTACCTCTGCTAGTAATAGCGAGACGCCAGTCCTAGCAGCAAAACGACCTTTTACGCTCCCGGGACAGGCTAACAGGGAAGTAATGCGGGCCGACGACATGTTGACAAGGAAATGCTGGAATATTGTAGTGAAATATCGTAGTCGCTCAACCCCGCTTTCAATTTCGATGTACAGGTGGTAACCCCTAAAGGAATGCTTTCGAATGCTTATGATTGCCATGGAGCTTCCCTTGGCATTGCGGCATCAAGTAAGGTGCAAGGCTGCCCAAGAGACAACATAATAGCTGACAACCAGACCAAGCTAAACATACTAAACACTGGACTATGCAAGTAGAGGTTGGTAACTATGAGCTGTCAAGAGGAATTACCACTCGGACGTGCCAGGTGATCACTGTGCTCGTTGTCTTGCCTCTGTAGGAACAATCCAATGCAAGGCTGAACTTATTCGGCAGAGCCTCAAACACTTCCTATGAGATATATTTATATCTATCTTCTTTCACTCCCTTTCCGGCGTATTTTATCTATCTCCTCCTTTTTTGGAGCAGCACAGAGCCTTTTTATTATTATTTTTATTATTTTTTTCCCTTTCAGAAAGAAAAGGAAGGCTGCCTATTCAATTCAGTTAGGAAGATGAGCCACGATCCTCCAGGCGACCCTCCAATGTCGCATTCGCCACGCCGGCTCCGGCGTCTATACGAGCCTCTTTCCCTACTTCAGACGCTGGGAAATGTTCGAGGTTGGCGTATCAGAGCCCCTGACATACCGCAGGATAATTCTGGCTTCAACGCCATAAAGAGTCATAGGTCATTTGTGGATGCACTTGCCTACGCCTGCGCATACAAGAAGGAACCTGCCTATGTGACCGCGGTCGCGTTGGAAAAGAGACCAGAGGAGATAGTGGTTTGGCTAGCGGCGAACAAGAATGTGGAAGAAGCTGTTGTCAGCTTTGCTCAAGATGTCTTGAGAATTGTACAATGGCTGGCAAGTAACCCATCGGCTCAACTGGGCACCAAAGATGGCCAACAAGCCCTGAACCTTTTGACGAGCAGAGTCTTGCGCTTTAATGCACCCAAGATCTACGCCTATTATGAGCAGGTTGTGAGAGCTGCGCCTCGAGTAATAGCAAAGCTTTCTAATGGGCAACATGAAGGTATGTCTGGCTTGTGGTGTATATCGAGTATACGCGTCTGACATGGTGGTAATGCCTAGGTAACCCTAATGTTGCCAACCTCAAACGCTGGCTGTCACAGCACCTGCAAAGGGACGGTGTACAACTCCAAGAAGTGGATATGGCGAACTTGGCCGTCATAAGTCACAACTCACGAGAAACCTTCGAAGTCCTCCGGAACCTAGCCATGGAATCACATGACCCTCACACATTTGAGCGGCTCTTTAAGTTGCTCGGCAAACTCGGGAAGCATGTGATTATGAGCAAACGAATAGTCGAAGGCGCAATATTTCTACGTTCAGATTTTGCAAGAGGGATGAGACTCGAGAGAGTTCCTGCGTCTCGAGAGCGTCCCCTTCCCTTTTCGTCCCGCAAGTACAATATCGATGGCATTAGCAACCGGATGTTCTCTAGTAATTCAGCAGAGAAGCAGAGGTTTCTTGCCCGTCTGCGGACAATTTGGGATACAAACGAATGGGACAAAAACTTGGCTAAGGAGCACCTCGCGGGTAAAAGCATTGTGCATGCTGAGCTCTTGATACTCGATCATTTTGAGAAGACCGGTGGGGATTTTCTGGATAATTCGGACAAGTATATCGGATGCAGCAAGCCTGCCTGTTATCTTTGCTATCACTATATCTGCAATCATCCAGGCCGTTATATTCGCCCTTCATCTCATCAGAAACTTTATATGAGGTGGCGCCTTCCCGACATCAGCGTAACAGAATCGAACGCCGCCACCCGTTTCACAGACCAAGAGCAGATTCTCAATAATCTGATAAATCTAGTACGACGGGAGTTGAGGAATGACATCGAAACTGGCGTGGGCAAGATGAAGGAATGCCCTGACTCAACGGCAGGAGGAACTTCGACTATGTTTGAACTTGAGACAGGGCTAGAGGCCGACATGGGTTCTTTATCTTTCCAAGAGCTCCGACACCAAATTGACCCCGACTTCCAATACGTCGTTATTCCCGACCCAGTCAGCAGTTCTAGTAGTGCCTCTAGCATTCACTCGCGTTCTAGCGCGGATACTGCTGTGTCTGAAGGCGATGAAGTCGAATATGATAGCGACGGGGGAGTAGTTGTCTAGAGATAATCACCTCGATTACGTCTGGGCACTTGGATTCGCTTACGTTGGGATTTTATATAGCGCTTGTGTGGCTCGGTAGCGGGTGGAGTCCTATTTGCGCTAGATATCGTTCATGGGAAATTCGGAGTGGAGTGAAGAGGATAAATTAGGGTAACAAGGTAAGTGAAGGTCCATGGGTAGACAACAACGGCGAAGAAAGACTAAATACGAGAGGAGGGATCCGCCGATGGTCACCCAATCCGAACTACTAATTTCTTAATGTGACTTGAAGCGCGGCTGATTTCTAGATAGATGCTGATTCTGTGAGGTGATTATGAGTACTGCTTCTTCATATTGTAACTAGAGTGGGCTAGGATAATTATATGATTTTCCATAAGTATACTTTGACTGCACTAAGTCTAAATTAATATAGTACATATGTCTCGGTACTCAGAAAAGTAAGATCATAGTAGACTACTATCCTTCTAGCTTTAGAGATATATTGCGATATGAAGGTTTCTTTGACCTGAGTATTAACCAGATAGAAGGCATAGAAATTGCTACTAACCTGACCTGGCCTGGCTGTTAGCCACCCTACTGCTTACCCATGCGCCACCCGCTTAGTTATCTACTACTTATTCATTTCTCTAATCTGTATGTTTGGATTTTATCATCTGAGGCCCCCGTACTCAATCTACAATTCGAAATTGTTCAATTATAAAGTAACAATCTGTGACAGACTTATCTTCTAGTCTATAATGGAGAAAGCATATGCAGGAAGAATGACCCGGATCGACAAACTCGGCAAAGAAGGTGACAGACGATACGTCTTCGTGGTCTGGTTCAGGTTCTTCAGGGTCAGGATCGAGTTCCAGCTGATTGAATTGACTGAGCAGGCCGGTTGGAGTATAATCACAGACGTAGCGGATTGCCTGCGGTGGCAGTACTGCAAAGAATTAATTATATTTATATTATTTTTTGAAGACTGAAGAACTAAAGGCAACTAAAAATAACCAGAAGTTATTAATATAGTTAAGATATATGATAATCTTTCATAAAGATCTCATTAATACAGCTACTAGAATAAGTGGAGGGTTTCTATAGTATTTACTTCTATATAACTATAGATCAGTTCAGATTTCATCATTAAACTCATAACACCCAAAAACAATGATACTTTTATACATCAACGAATCTACGGCCCCTCTCTCTCCACAACCCTATACCCATGCACCGCCTCCTCCAACGAGATATTCTCCGAATAATACTCAGATTCACGCGCCACGATCGTCTGACTCCCCAGCGATGGGACATGCGATCCGCGCGACTGACTGTTATCTCCGAGTCGAGAAAAGCCCTCCGGAGTCTTGCCATTGGCCTGGTTAGTCGGGTAGCGGCGTTGGTAGTAGCGCTGCGGAGTCTGTGATGATCCCTTGCTGCGTAGCTGTTGAGGGAGGATGCGCATGATCAATGGCCAAATGGGTGGGAGACAGGCGGCGATGATGATGATGCCGCCTTCTAGGATGGTCCAGATGCCGAGGTTGGTGGATGTCCCTGTATTGTATTTAATAGGTGGTTAGTAGGGTCATTCATGGATTAGGAACAGGGGAGGGACGTACAGGTTGGGTCGGTCGTGGCGTTTTCTTGGAAGAAGATTGTCATACGTAAGATACTGGCTACGGTTCCTCTGGTTGGGGGTTAATTCATTCCGCTGATGTTGGGGTGGTGAAGTATAAAGTATATACTTACAAACTGCCGAGAAGGAATACTCCCGTCAAAGCTAACTTCTGCCCTTTTCGCGTGTGTAGTTTCCAGACATATGGCAATGGCATGATCAGGATGAGGACGTCTGTCAAGATGTTTGGCGGTGACACGTAGCGGTAGAAGGCCAGTTGATTGAAGCATGATCCTCCTTCGATGGTTTTGTCCCAGACGTATGCTATCGGCCAGCACTGGAAGATGGCTGCAAATAGGATACCGAGGCCGTGTCCGAGTACGATAGCACCGACTATATAGGCCATTATTTTGAACGATCGAGTGGTGAAAATTCGGAGGTAGAAGACCAGAATGGATATTTTGGCTGGAGTGACCGTAAACGGGAAGTCGAGGATCTCGTTGGCGTACAGGCCCTGAACTATGTTAGACATGCATCTCCGAGTAAACAACCAAACAAGAGGGTTATACCTTCTCCAAAATCACCAGCTTTGCAGGCGTCTCTTCGACATATTCCATGTGATGTCCGACTCCTGCGAGCTTGACCACTATACGGAAAGAAACCCAACGGTCAGTGCTTGGTCTCGCATTATCGAGATTTTCCACTTACAGATTATGTACAAAGCCGATTGGCCTAAGCTGGCGATCTGCAAAAATGTAAGCACAAAACCGTAGTAACCAGAAAGATAGGCAAGTACCAATGCCAGAAGAATCAGATAATCATCGAGAGCGAAGGCCAGCTGCTGCAGACGTCGTCGTGTATAAAAGCGTGCTATAACCACCACGATCTGAACAACGGCAATCGCAACGGACACGCCTATCAGCGCATCGCCGTTGTATGGGACATCGGAATCAGATCGTGCATTCATCGCCACCTGAAACTCGACTTTTCATCTGCCATTGGAGGTCCCAGGCTGCTACTTCAACAGTTTCACGCATCTGCAGCCTGCAACTATTGTCGCAGCAAGAGGACCTTGAATGGGTGAGGGAATTTCATCTTTTAATTGCGCACAGGGCCAAGACCACAGCTGTTAGCTTCAAGCCGTGTTCCTTGGAATGAGAGCATCCGGCTTCACTGGGACCGTCTTTGAAACTCTTGGACGATGGATCCAGTCAATTACATAATGCAATGTTGAGTGTGCCGTGCTGGTGCCACGGGCAAAAGAGTATCCAAATCGATGGTTCTCGCATCATTCGCGAAACTCAATCTCCGCCGATCCCCACATGGCTTTCGGATGGCTTGCACAGGTTCTGGAACCGACCCTCGATCCGATACTATGCCCACATATTATGCCGCTGAGTGTCCAGTTCCTGGCAGATTTGTGTCCACTAAGGCACGCTAGCATCGTGCTCGGGCTCGATCTCCCATCTTATTCGTTCTCGGGTATCCTCCATCACGCGAGTCAGGGGCCCCACGCTTGCAATTCCTCAGCTTTTGTCCCGATTATCCTTTCATCATACTAAAGCCCTCTATCCGCGACATTTGAGGTTGGCTCCTGTATGTTCACCCGTCCTTGCAGGATATTGCATCTAGCCACCAAGAACGAGCAAAACAGCACGAGGAGCCGGACTAGAAAATGTCTCTTGATCGTCAGATATCAGAGCTAACAAGCGCCGTCCAATCTAGCAGAGATGGAATCGACGATAGCACCCGGTTCAAGGCCATCAAAGCCGCACAGGGGTTGCTGGCAGCCTTGGGCTCTCCAGCCGAGACAGTCATTCAGGATGTCGTTATGGTGAGTTTTCAGGATTATGCTGCCCATTTCCCGTGTGATGCCCGTTAACTTGCATGAAAAGAATTCGGTCCTTCTTATGGCACTTCGTATGGGTGTCCAGCTCGATGTCTTCAAGACTATCAGAGATAACCAAAATCATGCAACAACCACACAGCAGATCGCCAGCAAATCCGGCGCAAGTGTAGTTCTCGTGGGTAGATCTCCCTTATCTTATCAATCTCCATATTAGCCCTCATCAAATGTGAACTCGTGGGTCGGCGATGGATACACGCTTCTTTTCTCTGCGGTCCCACTCTGGAAGAGTCGATCGTAATAGTTTGCAGATGCAGCAGCATGGGATACGCCAAACACATATGCCGACAAAATCCTGAATAAAGCATACTGACATGGCACCACCTAGACCAAATCATGAGGCTACTCGCAGCTTCTGGCTACGTTCTGGAAGAAGATGTCCAATCATACAAACCATCACCTCTCACAATGGTAATGGCTGAGCCTACCTTCGAAGCCACAACTCGAGCATGGTAAGCCCCTCAGTCACACCACCATGCCAGCACACCCTCATCTGATACCCATTCTAGCTTCGATATCGGCAACTTCTGTACCACGAGAGCTCCAGAGTTCTTCCGCAATAACAACAACCAATTTCCCAAATCCGCCAAAGACACCCCGTTCCAGCTCGCAATGAACACAGAGCTCAGTTACTTCGAATGGCTTGGTCACAACCCCTCCCTGGCAAAGGACTTCCAACAATGGATGACCCTGAAGCAGCAAACAACCCCGAACTGGGCCGACTGGTTCGACATCAAAGGCTCCATCACCGACGGTTTCAACGACTCAGCGAACAACGTCCTCCTCGTCGACGTCGGAGGAGGCGAGGGCCATTACCTGCATGCCTTGAACGAGAAAATCCCCTCCCTTCCCGGACGTCTCGTCCTCCAAGACCTGCCTCACGTCGTATCGAGTATAAAGACTCCCCCGAAAGGAACTGACCTGATGCCTCACGATTTCTTCGCTCCGCAGCCAGTCAAAGGTATGATGCCTCCATGATCCACATACAAATCAAGATCGTGGTCAGACACACCGGCGCTAATCATTTCGCGCAGGTGCTCGAGCATATTATCTGCACTGGATCCTTCATGATTGGGCCGATGAGCAAGCCCGCCAAATCCTCACCAATATCGTCGAAGCTATGGAACCGGGGTATTCCCGCCTCATTATTAATGAGTATATCATCCCGGATAGACATTGTGATTTTCCCACTGCGTGCATGAGTATCATGATGATGGTCCAGGTTGGCGCGTTCGAGCGGTCTGAGAAGCAATGGCGTGAGCTGCTTAACTCTGTTGGTCTGGAGAAGATTGTTTTCCATCAGCCGCCTGGTGGTGGGGAGGGTGTTATTGAGGCTGTCAAAAGCCATAAATGAATGGAAGATAGATTGTCGAGATTTGATGACGGGAATGATAGGAATATGAAGTCTCCATTCTGATGTGGTCACATGGGACTCGTGATTGCACGCTTATTTTTTAGTCCACTGTAATACTCGTCCTACTATACGTTTACGGCATCGGTTCCATTAAAGGGACTATTGCGGTTGAGCAGGTAGTATGTACAAATGTTGGCTGGCTCTGAAATATTCGAACCCATTTCGTTTCTCTAGCTTGGAACAAATATAGATACATCAACGAGGTGCCTCGGGGTATATGATAAACTAAACAGCGGCGCCGCTCAAAATGTGTTACAGATCGGGAAGAAGACTAAAGCACCTCGGATGGATGGATCGATGGATTGTTGGCTGGCGAGGACAGACTTGAGCGAAGGAGACTATAAACCGACATTGTTGCTTCGTTCGCTGGGAAGTCACAAGACGGTCATTGGTTCCTTTGTATTTCGCAAAAGGAGCTGATTGCGCATCAGTTGTTCCGGTCCTGCTGTTCCAACTTTCCAACGAGTTTCTTCATGCCCGCCCATTCATCGGCAGGCACGTCTTCCGGAGTACCGCTGAGACCCTTTCCGACTTCAAAAACAGTAACCACACCGTCGAGCCCACCCGTTGCAATGCGCCTGCCCTCGCGCTCTTCCCAGGCTACCTTGTTGAGACTCCTCGTCAGTATGCCTCCACGGCCCTTGGACGGTGTCGTCTTCACGACGGGGACTTCGGTGTCCGTGTAGAGGTCCCAGACTTCGAGGTTTCCAGCACCATCGACGAGAGAGAAGACACCAGGGCGATGTGGGGACCATCGTGCGTCATACACGACATCCTCCCGGTTAATGTCAAGGATAGGCTCCACGACTTGAGTTGTGGCTATGGCAGAGGTTGCAGGGGCAGTCGTGGCCGGCGGACGGATGCGCCAGAGCCTCACGCTCCAATCCAGACTAGAGCTAAGCATGAGATCGCCCAGATCAACTGGACCGCGAGCGGGATGGAATGCAGTGGACATGATCGGGGCTTTATGACCGCGATACACGAGGCGATGGTCGGTACCAGCTTTAGCACCGGCTCTATCGTAACGATGGCAGGGGTAAATCCCTCCTTCCTCAGTACCAACGATGAAGAATGTGGGGTCGGACTGCGGGAATGACATGGTCGTGGGTGCAAGATCTTCTGTTTTCGAGGGTGGGGGAGTCGATAGTTCGAGGTATTCCTGAGGCTGGGAAAGCATGTCGACCGTCCAACCACAGACTACGCCATCTGTTGATGCGGTCAAAATGTTATGGGCATTCTGTGTTCCAATGATGGAAATACTGTAGACCGGGTGAGTATGCCCAGAGCCAGTCAACGGCGTCTTCTGAACGGGAGCGCCACCGCCTGCGCGCGACGACCGAGTATCCCATAGCAGTACCTGCCCCGAGTAGGAACCGCCAACAATGAGATTAGGGTGGAATGGAGAGAATTTGGCGGCCAAGATGTCAGAGGTAGAATGAAAGACATACTCCGGTCGGGAGTGAAGGTGTTGGTTCCAGATCTGGACGAGACCATCGGGTTCATGAGGGGCAGAAGGGTTCTTGGTGTACGCAGCCAGAACAAGTTCGGGGAACTGTGGGGATGTCAGACCTCAATGCGAAGCTCATGATGATGATAAAAGCGACCAACCTTCGGCGAAAAGCTAAGATCACTGATCATACGCTTCTTGCTCCATCGCTCGTCCCAGAACTGGCAGACCTCCCTGATTCCGCGCCGCTTCCGTCCATGTTCATCGTCGTCTTCTAGTTCACCATCCACGCCTCCAAGCTCGTAGTCTGCCAGCACGTCGTATTCCTCGTCCAGTGCCCGTTCGATGACTTTAGCTGATCGTTCAACGAAATCCAGAAAGTCCTCAGAGGACGTGACAGCCTTTAATTCGTCATCATCTAATGTACGGAGCGGGTAGCGCATATTCAAGGCCTCGGCGCTGGCTTCATTGTCAGCATGCTGTTGAGTGGCCTGCAGCTCCTCTTCGATCTCTTTTCGGAGCTTCCTCCGGATTTCTTCGTCGCGTTCGCTATCTCTCTTGCTGCCATTGTTCTCTTCATCGTCTGACTCTGTGGCGCCTGATGGTTTCAAGTCGTCCGTCTGGACTCCTTTACTATATGTGACAACTTCGGGTTTGGGCTCAGGGGCGGGCTGTGGTTCAGGAGCCGCGACAAACGGCTCGGTTCCGACCGTTTGAACAGCAATTGACTGTGAAAGCGGTCGCGTAGTTGGACTGAATGCTTCCGTGTTGTCGCCACTGAGTTGGCTAGCGCTCAGGACTGAATTAGGCCTGCTTCCTTTCCGTGACAGGCCATCGGCCCCGTGGCTGATGGAAGCCGACCCCGGGCGGTCAACCAAACGTGAGATAAGATCATCGAGCTCAGCTCGACTATCAGCGCGGCTGGGGGCGGGGGAGACAACCTAGAAAGACAAGTAGACATAAGCGCTGGCCCTTCTCAAGCGACATGGGCGACCATAAGTGAGGGGAAAGGGTCTCTGTACCTCAGAAGCATCGCCGGTGTTAGCTCGGGTTTGCGAGAATTCCTTCTGCCGCAGCTCTCTCTGCCGCTTCAGTTCGGCGAGTTTGGCTCTCTTGGCAAGGATCTCGGCCTTGCGCTGTTGCATAGCCGAGGACATGATGGGGAGGAGGGGGAGTAACGGAAGGTGAAACCCTCCAGACCACGAACTGGCTGGTCTTTCAACTTGGGGGACGAAGTAAATAAAAGTACGGGGAGGGTTCGTTCGCGTTCCCTTGAACCTTCCCCGTGTCTGTCCCGCGCCCAGGGAAACCCGGGTTGGTGATGACATAAGCGCCAAAGGGCCCGACGGTCCGGAAAAACTCGCGAACAGGAACTTCGTCTTTACCAGCTCTCTAAGTATCCTGTCCGATTGCCAGCCATTGACAGTCGATCCCTTCATAACGGTCGCTCGGAATCCGGCCTTGCTATCTCTCGTCTCACTGATCTGTTCCATTCGCCGCTCCGGAGGCCAGGGTTCTCATAAGATGGCTACCACACAGGGTGTCAACGTGAGTGTCATCAGTATCCGCCCTGGACCCATTGTCATGATACAGGACCCTCGAGGTTAACCCGCTCCCTTCGCCCATCCAGGTTCTGCGCTATTCGGCCCTCGTTGCCGGTCTCGTCTACGGTTTCTACCACCAGTCTTCGATCACCGCCACTGCTAAGCACGCCGAGGCCGAACGCGAATATGCCCGCCAGGAGCGCCTGATCGAGCAGGCCAAGGCTGAGTGGAGGAAGAAGACGGCGCCCAAGGACACGCAAAACAGCGGAGGTACGTCTTGGTGCTAGCTTTTCCATACTCTGAATCCCCTTTACCAGTCCCGAATTGCAGTCCCCATTGGAACCCCCCAGCGGCATGTACCGGACCCCCCAATGCTAACTAGGGAACTTGCACAGTCATTACGGATCCCGAGGACAGCCGGTTTGACCTTGAGGCTTTCCTGAAGATGAAGGCTGGCGAGAACTAGAATGGAATCGAAGTATACGGCACGCAGATGAAGTTGCAGTTATCTCTCTAAGAGTCGTACCTCTTTGAAGGTATAGGCGAGAGATCTCGGGTCGGCCCCGATTATGTATTATTGTTTGGTCTAATTTCCCAGAGTCGTGTCATTGCGAGCGAAAGGAATGATTTTTCTTTTTCCCCTATAGACATCATCCCCGCATCTTGTACATACCCTGGGCTGTTGTGCGTCTGTATCACTACAGTTGGACCAGAAGAGCAAGAGATTCTGTATGCTTCGGTTTCATTGCTGATCTTCTTCTCGTACTGAGTGCGCTTGCGCAATATTATGCCCATTGTTATGGGGCTGTTCTATGATATGCTCCGTGACGCCGTCAAGTCGTTACGTGCGGACCCGGGATGTTGCGCTCTAGATATGTAGTCATCCAAACTCTCCGTCATGTCCCGCCTATTACTGTAGGATAATCGAGTTGCAAGGTAGCCCCTGTTTTTGCAGACTCCCAGATACCCTCAACTCCGGCGATTCCCGATCAAGGCCATGACCTGACTCAGTTCATTATACAACCGAACATCTTCCTGAGGGAGTTCGTCGACGATCGGTTTCGGGTGCAACAACCCTTTTTCCTGATCCCATGTCCATCCATACGCGATGAACTTCTGCATGATGGCCGGGTCACCCTGTTGTGCGGCGGCAGCATCCAGACCGAGATAGGTTGCAGCGGCTGCTGGCCTTATCGCCTCATAGGCTCTGCTGACTTCCTTTAACGTCTTTTCCTGGAAATGAGCTAGGGTAAGGTTAGTATATGAAGGATGTAGCAAAGGCAAGGCATATTCGAGAGGATGGTTTGCCTTACATTCATAACTCTGGACTATGGGTCGGAGTGCTTCGGGCCACGGCAGTTCTCGCAGAATCTTATAAACTTGGTCATATTTCCGTTGCCAGACCGCTCGGAGAAGTGTCAAACAGTTCTGTAGTGACGAGTCATTTTGTAGTAATTCTTGTGGCACGCGTTGTGTCGATAAACGAGCTTCGGGACTGAATAACTTGCGGATTAGCGATTTGCTAACTGTGGGGGAGTAGCTCGGGATATCTCACATTTTGTCTACGAGAAGGTTGGAGAAGAAGAATGTAGAATAGTAAAGACTGAGTAGCTCCGTGTGGTTGCCCTTTTTCATGGAGAGCAGACAAGCTTCGCTTTCATAGTTTGATAGTGTTTCGTAGAGCTCCGTCGGCGATTTAGCAGAGGCAACGACGGCGGTCAGTTGCTCTTGTGTGAGTGGGGGAAGATCCATGGTGAGATGACCGTTGAGCGATCGCGAGAGTTCGCGTATTAATTCTCAAAATCAAAGAATAAAAAAAATATTCTTGAAACAGGGCGTAACGATTCGGATGTTCGAGTGATGGTCAACTAGACTTGCGCTGATACTAAGCACTGACGGTGCGGGGACGTTTCGGAGGAAATCCCCCAAACCCGCAACGGAAAAGGGAACTAGTAACAAAGTATTGTGGTTTGACTTGGGTGACTTACGTACCTGGCGCCAAGCCCCAGAAGAGACCACCTTGCGAAGCTCTCGACACTCTTCAATTCATTCCCCCGTTCACATCACCACCCAACCCCTTCCCTCTCATCAGCTCCCGGGACAGGTCGAGGGCTGTTTGCTCATCTTCTTTCCCATTGGATTTTGATTCTTTTCTCCCCTGGCCATTATGGCCGAATCACCCCTCGATGTCCTCTTGAAGGGTAACTCCGGCAGAACAACACGCGGCCTTCTGCGGATTATCATTCTAGCTACCATTGCCGCCGCTGCTGTGTCCAGTCGTCTGTTCAGTGTTATCCGTATGTCTCTTGACTCATATATTTGATCAATTGAATTATCGTCACTAACATTGACCCTCTAGGATTCGAGAGTATTATTCACGAGTGTATGTTTTGATACCAATCCTCACATCTATACCTTGACGCTACCGCGGATCCCGGCATTCGACACCGTGTGCAGGCAGCTCCAATTCAGAGGCAACCCGATGCTAATGTAGCTCCCTTCTACAGTCGACCCCTGGTTCAACTTCCGCGCAACAAAATACCTGGTCTCCCATGGCTTTGAGAGCTTCTGGGACTGGTTCGACGACCGTACGTTCTTCCTGCCAAGCATGCTTTACCACCTGCATATACTGATTGACGATGCTGCTCAGGAACATGGCACCCCCTGGGACGTGTCACTGGTGGCACGCTATACCCCGGTCTGATGGTGACCAGCGGTGTTATCTACCACGTCTTGCGTTTCCTCACCATCCCTGTCGATATCCGTAACATCTGTGTCTTGCTTGCCCCGGCCTTCTCCGGTCTGACTGCGCTGGCAATGTACTTCCTGACTCGCGAGATGGCGACATCCCCCTCCGCTGGTCTTCTTGCGGCTGCTTTCATGGGTATCGTCCCCGGATACATCTCTCGTTCCGTCGCGGGCAGCTACGATAACGAGGCCATTGCTATTTTCCTGCTGGTGTTCACCTTCTTCCTGTGGATCAAGGCTGTCAAGAACGGCTCCATCATGTGGAGTTCTCTGGCAGCTTTGTTCTACGGCTACATGGTGTCTGCCTGGGGTGGTTATGTCTTCATCACTAACTTGATCCCTCTGCACGTTTTCGTTCTTCTGTGTATGGGCAGATACAGCTCCCGTATCTATATCAGCTACACCACCTGGTATGCTCTGGGAACTCTGGCCAGTATGCAGATTCCTTTCGTCGGATTCCTGCCGATTCGCAACAGTGACCACATGTCCGCACTTGGTGTGTACTCTCGTTAACCGCTAGAGAAGACAGTTTGTACTGACCTTGCCAGGTGTCTTTGGCCTCATTCAGCTCGTGGCCTTTGCTGACTTCGTCCGTGGTTTCATCCCGGGCAAGCACTTCCAGAGACTTCTGACTACCATGATCATCGTTGTCTTCGGAATCGCTTTCGTCGGACTTGTCGTCCTCACCGTGTCCGGAGTGATTGCCCCTTGGAGCGGTCGTTTCTACTCTCTGTGGGATACCGGCTATGCCAAGATCCACATCCCTATCATTGCCTCTGTCTCCGAGCACCAGCCCACCGCTTGGCCCGCCTTCTTCTTTGATCTGAACTTCTTGATCTGGCTCTTCCCTGCTGGTGTCTACATGTGCTTCCGCGATCTCAAGGATGAGCACGTCTTTGTCATCATCTACTCGGTGCTTGCCAGTTACTTCGCCGGTGTCATGGTTCGTCTGATGTTGACCCTGACCCCTATTGTTTGTGTTGCGGCTGCTCTGGCCCTCTCCACCATTCTCGACACGTACGTGTTCGCGAAGAACGGCCCCAACCCCCGCGCCAAGGCGAACGAGGACAACTCGGACGGTCTTCGTTCCACCAGGAAGCCCGATGTCGGGGTCACGTCCTACCTGTCCAAGGCTGTGATGACCTCCTCCGTTGTCATCTATCTGCTTCTCTTCGTTGCGCACTGCACCTGGGTCACCTCCAACGCCTACTCCTCCCCGTCTGTGGTTCTCGCGAGCCGCTTGCCTGATGGAAGCCAGCACATCATCGATGATTACCGTGAGGCGTACTACTGGCTCCGCCAGAACACTGAGCACAACGCCAAGATCATGTCCTGGTGGGATTACGGCTACCAGATCGGTGGTATGGCGGACCGCCCTACCCTGGTTGACAACAACACGTGGAACAACACCCACATTGCCACTGTTGGTAAGGCGATGAGCTCCCGTGAGGAGGTCAGTTACCCCATCCTCCGTCAGCACGATGTTGATTACGTGCTGGTGGTGTTTGGTGGATTGCTGGGCTACTCCGGTGACGACATCAACAAGTTCCTGTGGATGGTCCGTATCGCCGAGGGTATCTGGCCCGACGAGGTCAAGGAGCGTGACTTCTTCACTGCCCGCGGTGAGTACCGGGTGGATGACGGTGCCACCCCCACCATGCGTAACAGCTTGATGTAAGATATCCCCTATTTGCCATGGCATTGATATGCCACTAACAACGACTGCAGGTACAAAATGTCCTACTACAACTTCAACTCCTTGTTCGGTCCCGGCCAGGCCGTTGACCGCGTGCGTGGATCTCGACTCCCCGCGGAAGGCCCTCAGCTGAACACGCTCGAGGAGGCGTTCACCAGTGAGAACTGGATCATCCGTATCTACAAGGTCAAGGATCTCGACAACCTCGGCCGTGACCACAACAACGCAGTGGCCTTTGACAAGGGCCACAAGCGCAAGCGCGCCACCAAGCGCAAGGGCCCTCGTGTCCTGCGGACCGAGTAAAGGGCCTGGTGTCGTTGATAGATACCAGGTTGGGTGTAAAATCGATCCCTTCTTCATTTCTTAGCATGTCATTTTCAATTCCATGTTCTTGTACGTGTCACATCACCATATAGGCGGAATCATAGAAGTTGTGCATTTGGTTAGAAGCGTAGACTATACTTCTTTCTATCCCTAAGCAACCAAGCTGAACCTTGGCAGAATGATCATGACATATTGAACACGAATATCCTTCGAATAATATACAGATCAATAATAAGAAGACGCGAGCAGAGATTTCCACTTGATCAGCAACATCATCTACACACATCCATCTCCTCCCTTCCCTAGTATCACATCCTCCCCATCAACCACCACACACCCTCCCCCCTTCCAAACCCAGCACAAACCCAACACACAAAAAGATAAATATACAGTATATTCATAGATATTCAAACCTAACTCCAATCCCAATACACCATCAACAATCAACCAATCAATTAAAATCAAATCAATCCATGCACACAGCTCGATCAGCATACGCTGAAACCGGAAATATAATAAAAACAACGATAACAGTATTCCGCAAATGCAATATTCGAATCACAATTATTGCTTCTTCGCCGGCTCATCGGGAACCTTCACGTCCGAGAACTCATCCTGTCCGACGGCGCGGATGGTGTAGGCGTCTATACAACGGAGATGACATTAGCTGGTTGTTATTTCTTGAGTGGGCTGTAATGGGATAGCATTGCGCATGCGCGCAGCGACAATAATCAAGGACAAGCACAAGACCAGGTGGAAGGGAGACATGGACGTACAAACACTAATGGTAAAAGACACCAAGGCCAGACCGGTCAAGGCATTCTTGAACAGATACGGACGACGGGCACGGAGAAGAGCCGCTCCGGCGCGGTAGTCTTTGCCGTAGTAGGTTGAGTTGAAGCTGTATTTTCCATTGACGGTATGAGTCAGTCAGTGTGTCTCTCTCTCTATCTTGCGATGGATGATGGGATGGGGTGATCGGGGTAGTTAGGTGGTAGTGGGGTGTTCTGTCTGGGATGGGGATGTAATAAGCAATGGAAGGGGGGAAATATTGGGACGTACATTCCGGCAGGCATTGTGAAAAGGATGAGTCCGTTGCTGACTGGTTGAGGCTTGGGAGATGAGTGTGAAGGTTCTGGAGAGGGCGCGCGCCGTTTTTTCTTTTCGGAGGTGGACGGGGAACTTTTGAAGAGGATCGACTGACGCCTTCATTGGGGGAGATTGGATTCGGCCCGGGCTTGGCGGGCTGGTGGTGGCTGCTAACAGGCCGAGGCGGAGCCGCGGGGATTTATCTACTTGTTTATCTCTATACTCCGTATACTCGTTCTTATTGCATGATGCTCTCATATATCTGTCTCTTGATGGGGATTTTCGTAGTTTAAATGCAATAGATTGGGTCACTGATGTTGGATTAGCATCAGGTCGGACTCTCTTTGAATTGTAGTAGTATCAGTTGCTAATTATATATTTCTTATAAGGCTACTACTAGTACTACTCTTAGTGCTTGATTATATTTAGTTCGATAATCATGACTGTAGTAGTAGTATTATGGGAGACTTCCACCTGTATGATGCTTTTCATTCACCGCCTATCGCCAAGTTGCTGTGAGGTCTTCGTACTACTTATCTCCTACCTCTCATTACTTCATCTTGTACCTAAGTCAAGGGATCACGCAATGGCTATATACTCTGCTAGAAAGTCTCAGGCTATAAGGAAGAGAATATAATGATAGCATTTATCAGCAGTATCTATACCTGTTCCACTGTCGTGGTTACGACTATCTGCTGCTGGCTTTCGTTATCGCAACTCTCAAGATCGAGCTTACCCTTCCCTTTGAATTTAAGGGCCCAGTGGCCCCGTTCGCTGAGCTGGTATCCGCTATGAGCAGGGCCGTTTCTCCAATCTCGGCTCAGATCAGTGCTCTTTTTGCTGCTGTTCAGCCCCGGAATGTTTCTTAGAAGCACGCGCAACGAAGGTAAAGAGCCGGTGATCAGACCGAGCGCATATTTGACGTTCATCAATATGAGGGGAACAGCACCGACGTCTAGGATGTGCGGTTAGTGGAGTAAATTATGTATCAACGGAGAGAAGAGAGGTCATACATGTATAGTCAGTTGAGTTGACTTGGAAATCCAATAGCGGAATGCGTGCCAGCCCGGCACTGCATGCCACGAATCCTTCATCAATCAGCCTAGGATGTTCAGTAAAGGAAAGTGATGACTCCGCAAACATATCAAGACAAAATAGCCCAATAATGAATAAGCGACGCTGAATAGGCATTTGAAGCTTCCAGATAGTCGGCATCGGAAGAGTGATAATGCTCACATCGAATAATAACATCAGGATTGCCTGATACAGCTGGAGGTCCTCTAACACAGCATTGGAAAAGCACTTCGAGTTAGGAATAGTCGAATCCCACGCTGCCTGCACTGGCCAGCACTGGAAGATCAAGGGTAATTCCCCCGAGATTGTCACGATCACCATGAGCACCATGATTCCCAGACCAATCCGCCGGATCCATTTGGTTGGGAAAACTCGCATGATAAAAACAGTAAGGCTACATTTGACAGCCAAGGCCACCCAGAGATATAGGCAGAACAAGATATATACGTACTGAAACAGTAAGTCAGCGTCTATAGAAGGACAGAAAAGGCACTAACCTTCTCCGTCATGATCATATCTGCAGTAGGAACAGTATCCTGATGGTAGCCAATTCCGTACGTTGTAAGAATGATGGAGAGGGCCGCGAACACAAGGACCATGGACTGCTCAGTGCGGTTAAGAGCGGGCTCATCTTCATCCTGTGTGAAACTTGTACATACCAGGGCAAGAAGAACAAGACAGTCATCCAGACCGAGAGCATGCATGATAAATCCTCGAAGGTAGAGCTAGGGAGACGCAGGTCAATCAGCCCGTGTATGCTGCCATTGCGGAAATGTAAACATACTCTAAGACAGCAAACGATCAGGGTGAGAAGACCGAATGCACCAATCACTCCCCTCACTGTGTACACCATTGGAGGCGCCGGATCAGGAAGATGCATCGGAGAGCCATCTGTACCGGTCATTTTCTTGTCAGCCGTTATGGTGACTTCCTTGGCTTTTGTTTTATTTCCTCATTCGGAGCTGATTTGAACGAGTATAGCAACAGTAAAGAGGCATCCGCAAGCAAAAGACCCGAGAATAGCCCCCTGACCAGCGTCCCTGTCAAGATAAATCCAGACATCGCGACATTCCATTTACTGAAATGATTAAGTGCGTGTACTTGCAGGGATCCGTCCCCCATGCGGCCGACTGCAGGGTAAATATCCTGTTAAGAGACATAATAGAAATGATAATTAATCTATTGAACAGGGAAGCCAATCCTGAAAGGGACCAAGTGGGCCGGTGCTGTGCCACTGTGTTGTTTGAGGCGAACATGAACCATCATTCGATTCAGGGCTGTCATAGTGGCCCACTTGGCGCATGAACCGGGGAGTGACCGTTGGTCGCGGAGGCTGCCACGGCCAGGATGGTGTCAATGCCTCGCCCATTGACATAAAGATTAGAGAGATATGTTACACAGTAAAGATCAGCCATCGATGATCATAATCAAGGCGTAATGCTGCGAGAATGGCTCTTGGACTTTGTCATGAACCCGCATCAGCCGGCTCAGCCCTGACTGGCTCTAGTCTGATGGCATCTTGCACCTTACTGGGAGGCGCAATTTATGTATGCGGCGGCGTCAGACTAACAACAACCCCGGTTACACCGTTTCTTTGTTATCTGGTCTATTAATTTCGGAGTTGAATGCCCGTAGTGGGCTGCTTTAAAGGGGATTCAGGAGGGATGGGACGACCGCAACCTGTCAAGGACATGGTTCGCATCAGAGATCTTGTCTGAGCGGCGAGGATCATCACCTCGTTGACCAACATCAAACTGCGTGACTGTATTATTCCACTTGAATTCTCCTCATATTTAATCTTCCAGCATGTCGGATAGCCCTGGTCTGCTGGCTTTAAGCCCACTTGACCACATCCCGGCGAAGCTCTTCCTGCCGTACATCCTGTACTTCGACACGACCGACACGCAGACAGCCCTCTCCACCCTCCAGAAAGGAATTGACAGGTTGATTTCAGAATTGCCCTGGCTCGCCGGAGATGTGGTTCTCTATAGTGTGCCAGACGGGCCCAAGAATCGAATGCATATTGCGCCCCCATGTGTTCCTCTTTCTGATGTCCCTATGCTGAAGATCAAGCACTTTGACGGCGATGCAGACTCTCAATCTAACCCGATCCAGTCCTATCTGCCTCTGCCCACATTTATCCCAGCCTCCCAACAGCGTCCTGTTCTTCGCTTCCAGGCAAATGTCTTTCATAGCAGGATCATTGTGGCCATGTCCTTCTGGCACAGCGTCTTTGATGGTACCGGGGCCGGTGTGATCCTGGAAGCAGTCGCCGAGTGCTGCAAGTCAATCAACGAAGAAATCACAACCAGCCTCGTGCAGACTATCGCGAAGACCCATGATGACCTCCGGAAGGAAGTCGCAAATTTTCCATCTAAATGTGTGAAGCGCCTCGACCACAGCATTGAGTTGGGAACGCCTGTTTTTGATCCCAACATTTCCACTGAGCAATGGAATGCAATGGAATCTGCCTTGTCCTCTATTGTCGAGACAAAGCGATACACCTTCAGACCCGAGAAAGTAGCCAAGGTGAAGGACATTTGTACTCAACTCATGCCTCAGTTGCAGTCCTCAGAGTGGATCTCTAGCAACGATGTTATTACCGCAACACTAGCCATCTGTGTCGACCGAGCCCTTCACCCGGAGCGAGCAGACAGAACCCAAAGCGCCGATTTTCTAATGGCCGTTGATTTGCGAAGCCGAGTTGATCCTCCGCTACCAGAGACCTACCTGGGGAACGCGATCTTCCCTGTCCATGACGATATCTATTCTGAAGAGATGGCAGGCCAGACAGGGGATGATGCAGATCTCCTACATCTAGCTCAGTTGGCACTGCGTATCCGCATGAAGCTTACAACCATGGACAAGACTCTCATGTATAGCGCATCAGCCGCCGTCGCCGACAATGAAGATTGGACCAAAGTTGAAGCAGGACCCGCGGGGATCATTGTAACCAGCTGGAGAGGTCTCAAGGTCTTTGAACTAGATTTTGGCGCTGGACTGGGCCACATTGTAGACTTCGAGCCCGGGCTCACGCTTGTCCCTGGTGGGTGTATCTTTCTGCCGTCACGAACGTTCTTGGGGAAAAGTGGGTCGTCTCCAATGTGGGAAGTATGCATCACCCTGAAAGCTGGGGATTCCCAATTGCTTGAGAAGGATCCACTGTTCAACCGGATCGTGGCATGATAATGGCTGGTGAAATGTGGTATATGGCTGT